CAAAGCTCTCTCTGCAGACCGTCCTGTATGATGTTCCTCTGGCCAGAAATGTCCAGCCACGGGTCTGCTCCAGCCCTCCGTCCACGTCTGGATCCTCCTGCAGCAGATCCAGCTGCACTGTTAAAGACTTCCTGCTCACTCAGTTTAAATAAATGATCCAGGAAGAGTCACTCAGGTTAATCCTGCTTTAACCGTACATAACTGGTCCATACTGGTTCTGATCTGTAAATAAGTGTAACCTATTATAAATAATCTTGTCTCCTTACCATCTTTTCATTTTCTGTTCATGTAACATGTTAAAAAAACATCTGTAATAATAAAACTGGTGATAAAATCAATGACCAGAAAGAGTTATCAGTTAGTATTTTTAATAAACGTGTTCAAATATCAAACAGCTAAATAACATTAACATGATGACAGTAGAAGGCCTCTCTCCCGGGATGACCACCAGGTAAAGCCTCTCCTGACCCTGGACACCTGCAGTCCTACAGAGAAAATCAGACCACAGGTGACAAAAAGGCAATAAACACATTTTTACATTTATCCACATGAGAAGATAAAACTTTTATTCTTCACACAAACTTTTTACTTCATTAAAACGTGTCAGCTGTGTAAATCCCTGAATGTAAAACTACTTTTCACAGCAGAACTTCTGTGGCTGTGTGGGTAAACAGCTTCACTCTTCACCTCTAAGCTTAATAAAAACGCTTCTTTGCTCCGTTGTCCTTAAAACAAATGACATGTTTTAATAACTGGGACCTGCGAAACAAACTCGTTCTGGCTGATTTCTGCCTAAAATGTAATTTAAAGAACAAATATACAAACGAAATATGTCTATAAACTGAACCGCTTTAAGCTTTTTAGGTTTCTACGGCTAGTTTTTAACAAACTTACGTTTAAAACTTCGTAGCTCTCCCCATTTTCTCTCCCTGTTGAAAATCCACAGCTGGCGCACAAAGCATGCTGGGATAGCCTTGTTCTGTGAGGATACAACAGACCCGTCCTCGAAATATGGGCGGAGCGAGGACGCATTTGAGGACGCGAGAATGAGTATTCTTGGAATTCGGACAGTACTCGTCGCTGCGCTGTGACGTCATCGCACTCTTAAAAGCATCCTTCCCGTGGATTCGGACACACCCAGTGGCTCTAATCATCTTCCGTACGAAGTTGAAATAAATAAATAAAAGGTAGTGTACAAAAAGTCTCAATATTAATAACAACACCCCCCACCCCCGCACACGCTCTAAAACATTCGGCAAATTGTGCCCTCCCAACCCCATGACCCCGTCTCACTCTTTGAAATGTTCAAAACTTGGCAGCCCTGAAACATTCAAGAGTTAAGTTCACTTATAAATCAACTTTATGAATTAAGGAATCTTTAACTCTTATCACTGTTTCATGCCAGGACGCTACTAGCCTAGTAGCTAGGCTAACATGCCTCTCACACCCCATGACTGCAGACTGACAGTGAGAGGCACACAACAACCAATAACTAAGAACAATACCCCCCCCAAACAAACATGCACAAACATCACAAATAGAACAAGGTGCATGTAAACATGAGTACCCACAGTTCACCTCACCCACTGCAGCTCCTGCATAGAGCTCCGGGAGTTGGCGTCACTTCTCCCGGCATGCAACAGTTCAAATTGAAACGGCACCATCTTGGCAGGTAGAAGCCGGCAGCTGGACTATTTGTTATTGTCAGAAAACTAAATCAAACGGGAGATATGGTAGATTCCTGTTGTGCCCCAGGATGCCAGAACAGACACGGACGAGATAAGGGAAGAGCCATCTGCAGGACTCCCCAAGATCCGGAATGCCGCAAACGTTGGATGATTGTAATAAAACGCACTAGTGACCGGGCTAAAATGAAACTGTGGGATCCCGAGAGTAAAGGTTTTCGCTTACGCAGCGACTACTTCAAATCAGGTATTTAAACCAACGTTTCCTCAACTGTGTATGGTATTTATTTTAAATGTGTTTATTACGATTCTTAGTGGGCTTCCTAAACTTATTTTGGTGTGGCTTTTTCTGTCTTATTACTCATAGCAGCAAGTAAACATCACGTAAAACGTTGCCTTGTGATTTCTGCGTGCTGCCGTTTACGTGTTTTATGATCACAGCAATTAACCGGCTAAGCTGTGTTTAATTTTTAAGCAATGGTTGATCATTTGTCAGATCACACATAAAAAGCACTTTGGATTGCTATTATCTGTCTCACCGAGACAGATCTCAGACAGATCCTGAGACGCTCCTGCCTGACATTTTTATTTTATTCACGGAAAAAAATCAGACTAGTGATTTCTCTTGGCGTTCAGTTTATACATTCAAACAGCACAGCACTCTATTTAAACTTCTTACATGCAAGTCTATGTTATTTGTGTTTTTATTTCATTAGTTTTATAAATTATAAATGTCAGGGCATCTCAAATCCGGTAAGAAGCCCGCTCTGACAGCTTCTGGCATTTTTAAAAAGTATCCCAGGGGCATGGTAAGGGTCGGACATTTTTTGTCTATTTAATTTCTTACTATATAAAACGATTTCTTCAGTTTTAAAGTGTGAAGCAAACTCAGATGGAGTAAAATCCAAGCCGATCCCGTTCATTTTGTTTACCTTTGTTGCCTGCCAACATGGCATCTACTCTCTGAGAGTCACGTGACGTCCGGAGCTCTATAGGGCAGTGCCATTACAATCGGTAGATGAAGAGCAAAGCCATTAAAGTGTTTTGGTAGAGCTTCTGTCTTTGCAGCCAGTTGGTCACTACCATCATATGTTTGTGTATTAATATAAATTTAAAAGTGTTTATGGTTTCTACCAGTCCAACTTTTAGAATAAAGGGATAGCCTCAGAATTAACTGCAGGTATTATAGCCTCAGTGGGAGTTCAGACTTAGCTTTTCAGTTCAGTTCAGTTCAGTCCAGTTCATTTTTATTTCAAACATTTCACACATGTATCATTACAAAATATAATTCCATTATTTGACCGAAAAGGAGGAGGCTGAAGAATTCACTTATTTGTCCCTACCCCCAAGTTTTACCTCTTATTCATTTAATTTTCTTTCAGTCTTAAATTAAACAAACAACATATGAAAAAAAATTTAAAACAAACAACAACAACATATGGAAAACAGAGAATGTGTAAATTTGCAGATTCACCAGTTATGGAGAAAAAAGAAAAACCAAACAAACCAAAAAACACAGAAAAAGAAGCACAACAGCATAACCAGCCACATTTACCATCCTGGGTTGACCCTGTTTTCTTCATTCTTATACTTATTTAAAATTAGGTTTTTATATTTTACTTTAAACTGGTTTACTGTTGTTTTTACTTTCTTTCATCTCTTCTGTTAGACTGTTCCATAATTTAACTCCTGCATTTGCGATCGACATAGTTTTTAAAGTTCTTCTAGCACTTTGTATTTTTAAATTCCATTTCCCTCTTAAGTTATACCCACCTTCTCTTTCTGAACAATAAACAGATTTCTTTTGGAAGCAATTTATTTTTTACTTTATACATTATTTGCGCTGTTTTGAGCTTCGCCAAGTCTTGGAATTTAATGGCTTGCATTTCGACAAAGAGTGCATTTGTATGGTCCCTGTACCCCACATTATTTATTATTCTAATGGCCTTTTCCTGTATTATAGTTATCGTCTGTATGTTACTTTTGTATGTGTTTCCCCAGACCTCTACACAGTAACTCATACATGGCAGTAGTAAAGCACAGTATATGTGCAGGGCTTTCTGATCCATCATATTCTTTGCTTTCACCAGGATGGCAACGACCCGTGCCAATTTCCCCCGAACATAAGTAATGTGTGGCTTCCAACAGAGCTTATGGTCAATGATCACACCAAGAAATTTCATTTCATTTACTCTTTCTAAATATACATTATCCACACAAATTTCTATTTTGATGTTTTTCTTTTGGTTACCAAATAACACAAATCTGGTTTTATCTATATTCAATGATAATTTATTTATATCAAACCACTTTTTTAATATCGTTAATTCCTGTGTGATCAACTCCAAGACCTGTGGCAATTCCTCCCCTGAACACAATATATTTGTGTCATCTACAAATATTACAAACTTTAAAATTTTTGATACTCTGCAGATATCATTTAAGTACATAATAAACTATTTTGTCCCAGTACTGAACCTTGAGGTACTCCCCCTGAGGTGCCAGATGATGAACCAGAATCTCCTCAAAGACGTCATGCTTCATGGTTGTACCAAATTCCTCTAACAACCTAATTTCTACCTCTGTGACCAACAGAGCCACATTTTGCTTGGACTGCTAGTACCTGTTAGCTGCCTCTGAAGTTCCACAGTTCGAAGAACCCAAAAGGACTCTTTCTTCAGCTTGACAGCATCCCTAACCGCTGGTGTCCACCAGTGGGTTTGAGGGTTGCCACCACGACAAGCACCGACCAACCTGTGGCCGCAGCTTTAGTTGGCCACCTTAAAAATGGAGGCTTGAAACATGGCCCACTCAGACTAAATGTCCCCCGCCTCCCCTGCAATGCTTTAAAAGTTCTGTCGGAGGTGAGAAATGAAGTTCCTTCTGACAGGATACTCTGCCAGACATACCCAACAGATCCTCATAAAACATTTAGGGCTGCCAGGTGTTTTCGTATTTGACTTTTTTCTTTTTACTTCTGTAGTTATTTTTCTGCTACTCTAGCTTTAGTAATCCTGGTTGCATAACCATGTGGGCGGGGGTAGAAAGTGGTTTTTAGCAAGCACCAACTCTGGCCCAGCTATGAGTTGATGCTAGGTCTGAAAACCAAAGAACCAGTGTAAAGACAGGCTCTAATACAACTACTTCTGGAACCAGCTCAATGGAAAGCCCTTATCTGTGACTCACCTGAGGCCTTTGGACTCCTCTCAGTTCCTCACTTTTTATTATTACTATTTATTCAAACTCAACCAATTTCCCCAAGATTATTCTGATTCTTAAACTTCTGCCCATATCAACCTGATCTGACAAACTCACCTGACTCCAAAAGTGGTCTGGATTAAGGTTGTTATTCCTACAGTGGTGAAAATGGTTCCAATCAGCTGACTAACGGTATTTTGATCCCGTCTGACACACATGGACTCAGCCAGAAGAAATGGTACTGCAACCGTGCCACTGAAACATGTCAGGTAATGCTGTGGAAGAAAAAGAGAAGGATATGAAGTTTTCCTCTGGAGATAAACATAATCACTTGTCTTTTTAATTTTTTTTTTTCTAAAATTGTCAATAGAATAGAATAGAATAAAATAGAATAGAATTCCCCCAGAGTATTTTGGAAGTTCTGTCGGAGGTGGGAATTGGAAGTTCCTTCTAACAAAAGACTTGGCTAGATGTTCCCAGCAGACCCTCACAATATTTTTGAGCCTGCCATGTCTGACCGGCATCCTCCATACCATCGGAGACAACTCACCACCAGGTAGTGGTCAGTTGAGAGCTCTGCCCCTCTCTTCACCCGAGTGTCCAAGACATGCGGCCACAGATCAGATGAAACAATGACAAAGTGGATCATCAAGCTGTGGCCTAAGGTATCCTGGTGCCAAAAGCACACATGGACATCTTTATGTCTGACTGTGGTGTTCATGGATTAACACCACATTCACACCACTAACCTCCCCCGCCCCACCCCCACCCCAAATGTCATGTCTGGCTGTGAAGCAAACAGAATTGATGTCTGAATGAGCATCAAAGCGTCTGCTTTTAATGTCACGCCTGATACTTAAAACTTTATTGTTATTGTTTTTTGAATGCTTTGTAATTCTGACCGGACACGGAGACAGAGGTGAAAGACAAAGGAAGAGACAAAAGGAAGGGGGGTTCCACAAAGATAAACAATCAGTGATGAACAAGAGTCTGCTTCTAAACCTGCAGAAAGAGAAAAACAACACACAACAATACAACAAGAGCAAAATATCACTGTGTCAACCTGATGAGGAAATATAAAATCAGCATTGTTTTACTGAACAATCATGATAATAAATCACAGTGCATTTAGTGCCAACCACAGCCTTAAGACATGTGTTGAAAGTGCCCAAGTCCATACTTATGAGAGTACCATGTGAGCACCTGTGTGCGTACACGCGCTTGTTTATGTAAGGTTTCTCTATAGGAGCAATCAATAGAGTGTGAGGGGCCACAGATTTCCCCCCCCCCCAAAGATGTGTAGCAGATGAAGGGAGCTCCAAGTCCCAGAGATCCTAGGAGTTGCCCCAGAGCACAGGGACCCCAGAAAGACTGTAACCAGAAAAGCCCCCGCCCCCCCTCAAGAGGTGCAGAGGATTGCACCGGGGGGCCACAACCAGCAGTCAGCAGAGCCCAGGGAGATATCAGCGGCAAGCTCACAGGCCCGCCCGCAGCCTCCCACCCCCTAGCCGGCTGAGCCCGGAACCCAGCGACCCGGGACCCAGGGGCGACCACCCCCACCGGGGACCCAGCAGAGCCCAGGGACTCAGACCCCACCAGGCAGCCACCGGGATTTATCAGGCAGACGCCAAAAATCTTAAACCCCCTGACCCGGGAGCCGCAAACACTCAGGCAGACCAAGGCGCCACACTCCACACCAAGTGTGGCAGGGGGAGGGTAGGCGAAGATGTGTGGCATCAAAAAGTCCCAGGAGAGGGGAGGAGTCAAAAGCCCCACCTGACATGTACAGTCATACACAAACACAGTCGCACACTCCCTCCCACACCACTCCCACAATGGTCTTAATCTCGTCTCAGATTAAGACCAGTCGGGCCATTCCTCTCAACCACATCTCTCTGTCATTGCTAGCATGAGCATTGAAGTTCCGCAGTAGAACGAGGGAGACACTAGAAGGAGCGCTCTCCAGCACCCACTCCAAGGAATCCAAAAAGTGTGGGTAGTCTGAGCTGCAGTTTGGTGCATAAGCACAAACCACAGCCAGGAACCAGTTCTCTCTCATTTATGAAATAAAAAAATAAAATCCAGGCTAGATTACTCTAGGATCTACATGGCTGCTGTGGAGCATCTTTAGCTGATGCAAAAAGCTGCAGCTTGGTTTCTGATAGGGACATGCAGGACTGAGCATACCATACCAATCCTGGCCATTTACACTATTTTTTTATTTGTTTTTAAAGTGTTATCTACTTAATCCCACTTTAATGAAATGCCATCTAACCCCTGAAGTGGCAGCTGGTTTTCTGGAAGTTCTTGAAAAGGTCCCTCTTAATAATTTGTCTGCCTCCTGTGATTTTATGGTCAATGATTTTAACAGCAGACTTAAAGCTGCTCTTGACTCACTTGCTCCATTCAAAATCAAAACTCTACAGTCTAAACATACATCAGCATGGAGAAATGAAATCCTAAAACAGCTGAAGAGAAACTGCAGGGTGGCAGAAATACGAGCATAATTAATAAGCAGTTATACACAAAACTACTATGATAAATCTTATGATAAAGCAGTTAGAAATTCCAGAAATTATTACTTTTCCAAAATCATCTCGGAACACAAAAATAATCCTAAAATGCTTATCTCTACAATCGGTCATATTTTTTATTGTGACTTTAACTTTCTTCAGAATACCCCCTCAGATGCTCTCTGTGAGGAGTATGCAGCCCACTTCAGAGGGAAGGTAGACACCATCAGATGTAACATTTTATCCTCCAAAAGCAGTATGGTTTGTGATAAATATGAGAGTGTGTGTCTACCTGAGGAAACACTGGACAAGCTGAGAGTCTTGGTAAAGTTTTCTCCTCAGTGAGACCCACCGCTTGTGTCCTAGACCAAATTCCCACAAGGTTTTTTAAACAGTTCTATGATTCTTTTAGAGATGAGATTTTAACCTTGATGAACTGCTCACTTCAGACGGGGTCTTTAAAGGGGCGATGGTGAGACCCCAATTAAAGAAGAGCAATTCAGATTTTAATGATTTAAACAATTTTCAACCGGTATCTAACTTACCATTTCTCAGCAAAACTCTAGAGAAGCTTGTTTTAATCCAACTTAATGATTTTATTGACTCATGCAATGTCCTAGAGAAATTTCAGTCTGGTTTTAGGGTGAACCACAGCATGGAGATGACCCTTCTGAAGATTTTAAATGATTTTAGAGTAAATTATGATGCCAGAAAGGTGATGGTGTTGGTTCTACTGGATCTAAGTGCTTCCTTAGATACAGTAGACCACACTATTCTTTTAACACATTTAAAACAGATCGGCCTCTCTGGTGATGTCCACAGATGGTTCACATCCTACCTAACAGACAGGACGTTAATGGTAAGTTTGGAAACCTGTTCCTCGAGGATCCACATGTGGTGTGCCTCAGGGTTTAGTTTAAGGCCCAGTGCTTTTTAACCTTTATATGCTCCCTCTTGGCGGTGTCATAGGGAGACACGGGGTGAATTTCCACAGCTGCGCTGATGATACACAGTTGTACATCTCCATCTCTCCTGATGACACACAGCCAATGAATGCACTTTTTAACTGTATTTCAGACATCAAATCCTAGATGGCAGAGAACTTTTGCCAGCTCAACCAGAACAAAAGTGAAGTTTTAGTCATCGGTCCTGAGGCCCAGAGAGAGAAACTTTTATCAAGACTAAAAATCTATGAATTTTAATCCTTCCTTACAAGTCAATAACCTGGGTGTGATTTTTGACTCTGAGCTGTCTTTTATCCCACACATAAAAAGCATTACTAAAATAGGTTTTGATCATCTAAACTATACTGCCAGAGTCCGCCCCATTCTCTCTCGGGCCAAAACGGAGATGCTGATGCATGCTTTTATCACCAGCAGAGCTGACTACTGTAATGCCCTGCTTTCTAGTCTTCATAAAAAGAGCATTTCAGGCTTACAGCTTTTACAAAACTCTGCAGCACGTGTCCTGATGAAGACCAGGAGGCGGGAGCACATTACACCAGTTTTAGAATCGCTGCATTGGCTCCCTGTATGTTTCAGGACCCATTTTAAGGTTCTCTTAATTGTTTTCAAGTGTCTTAATGGTCTTGGGCCTTCGTATCTTTCGGAACTGCCTTTACTTTATGAACCCTCGTGGCCTCTGCGCTCCTCTGGCAGCTGTCTCCTTGTGATTCCAAAAGTCAGGACACATACCCATGGTGAGGCATCCTTCCAGTATTATGGCCCTCGTCTCTGGAACAGGCTGCCAGAGGACCTCAGCATCATACAGAATGTTCATGTTTTTAAGAGCTGGCTCAAGACTCACCTTTTTAGCTTAGCTTTTAACTGATATCTGTTTTTAGCTGCTTTTCCTGTTTTATTATTACATTTATTTATTTTATTATTTCTATTTTAGTAGTATTAGACTGCCTCAGGGGTGGTGGTCGACTGTGGTGGCCTTTTGCAGTTGCAGACCCTGAAACTGTGGAATGGTTTGCCTCTGCAGGTCAGGCAGGCCTTCTTGCTCCTGCTTTACATTGCCCCAACAAACATGCTTTCATTTTCTGGGCTTTTTTAATGCCCTTTTTAGCATCTCACATGCGTTTTGTTTTGTTTTTTGCATGGTTTACTTAATTTAGTTGTTGGTTTTCTGTATTTTGTATAACCTATTTTGGGCTGTGATACGCTGTTGGTTTTATGTACAGCTCTTTGTGTGACCTTGTTGTTGGTATAGTATTTTCTTTCACAGTTTGAAGGATCTTTCATGGCGGTTAAAACGAAGAGTCGGAGTACCCGGCCCGGAGGGTTACCGGGGTCCCACCCTGGAGCCAGGCCTTGGGTTGGGGCCCGTGAGCGAGCGCCTGGTGGCCGGGCTTTCGCCCATGGGGCCCGGCCGGGCCCAGCCCGAACCGGATCCATGGGCTCGTCCAACTGTGGACCCACCACCCGCAGGAGGAACATGAAGGGTCCGGTGCAATGCGAATCGGGTGGCAGACCAAGGCGGGAGCCTTGGCGGTCCAATCCCCGGACAAGAAAACTAGTCTTTGGGACATGGAACGTCACCTCGCTGGTGGGGAAGGAGCCGGAGCTTGTGGCAGAGGTTGAGCGGTACCGGCTAGATATAGTCGGACTCACCTCGACACATTGCATTGGCTCTGGAACCCGAGACCTGGAGAGGGGTTGGACACTCTACTTTGCTGGAGTTGCTCCGGGTGAGAGGCGGAAGGCTGGGGTTGGCTTTTTGTTAGCCCAGAGACTCTCTGCCTGTGTGTTGGGGTTTACCCCGGGGGACAAGAGGGTAGCTTCCTTGCGCCTTCGGGTCGGGGAACGGGTCCTGACTGTTGTTTGTGCTTATGGGCCAAATATCAGTTCAGAGTACCCACCCTTTTTGGAGTCCCTGGGATGAGTGCTAGATAGTGCTCCATCAGGGGACTCCATTGTCCTGCTGGGGGACTTCAATGCTCACGTGGGCAATGACAGCTTGACCTGGAGGGGTGTGATTGGGAGGAACGGCCCACCTAATCTGAACTCGAGCGGTGTTTTGTTATTGGACTTCTGTGCAAGCCGCAGTTTGGCCATAACGAACACCATGTTCGAACATAAGGATGCCCACCGGTACACTTGGTACCAGGGCAGCCTAGGTCACAGGTCGATGATAGATTTTGTAGTCGTATCATCTGACCTGCGGCCGTATGTTTTGGACACCCGAGTGAAGAGAGGGGCGGAGCTGTCAACTGATCACCACCTGGTGGTGAGTTGGATCAGATGGCAAGGGAAAATGCCGCGTAGACCTGGCAGACCCAAACGCATAGTGAGGGTCTGCTGGGAACGCCTGGCAGAAGAACCTGTCAAGACGGTCTTCAACTCCCACCTCCGGCAGAGCTTTGACCACGTCCCGAGAGCAGTGGGGGACATTGAGTCCGAGTGGGCCTTGTTCCACTCTGCGATTGTTGAGGCGGCTGTTGCTAGCTGTGGTCGTAAGGTGGCCGGTGCCAGTCGTGGTGGCAACCCCCGTACCCGCTGGTGGACACCAGAGGTTCGGGGAGCCGTCAGGCTGAAGAAGGAGGCCTACAGGGCGTGGCTGGTCTGTGGGTCTCCGGAGGCAGCAGACAGGTACCAGATAGCCAAGCGGGGTGCAGCAGTGGCAGTTGCCGAGGCAAAATCTCGGGCGTGGGAGGAGTTTGGTGAGGCCATGGAGAAAGACTATCGATCGGCTCCAAAGAGGTTCTGGCAAACTGTCCGGCGCCTCAGGAGAGGAAGGCAGCAACTCGCTCACACTGTTTACAGTGGGGATGGGGAGCTGCTGACGTCAACTGAGGCTATAGTCGGACGGTGGAAGGAATACTTTGAGGAGCTCCTCAATCCCACCAATGCGCATTCCGAGGAGGAACCAGAGCTGGGAGGCCTGGGGATGGACTGTCCGATCTCGGGGGCAGAAGTTGCTGAGGTAGTCAAACAACTACACAGCGGCGGAGCCCCGGGGGCGGATGAGGTTCGTCCTGGGTATCTCAAGGCTATGGATGTTGTAGGGCTGTCATGGTTGACACGTCTCTACAACATTGCGTGGTCATCGGGGGCAGTTCCTAGGGAGTGGCAGACCGGGGTGGTGGTCCCCATCTTTAAGAAGGGTGACCTGAGGGTGTGTTCCAACTATAGGGGGATCACACTCCTCAGCCTCCCTGGAAAGGTCTACTCCAAGGTACTGGAGAGGAGGGTCCGATCGATAGTTGAATCTCAGATAGAGGAGGAGCAATGTGGTTTTCGTCCTGGCCGTGGAACTGTGGACCAGCTCTATACCCTTGCAAGGGTGATGGAGGGGGCATGGGAGTTTGCCCAACCAATCCACATGTGCTTTGTGGATTTGGAGAAGGCTTATGACCGTGTCCCCAGGGGCACCCTGTGGGGGACGCTCCAGGAGTATGGGGTGGGTGGCTTTCTGTTAAGGGCCATTCAGTCCCTTTACCAGAGGAGCGTGAGTTTGGTCCGCATAGCCGGTAGTAAGTCGGACCTGTTCCCAGTGAGGGATGGACTCCGCCAGGGCTGCCCTTTGTCACCGGTTCTGTTCATCACTTTTATGGACAGAATTTCTAGACGCAGCCGTGGTGTTGAGTGTGTCGAGTTTGGTGGCAGGAGAATCTCGTCTCTGCTTTTTGCGGATGATGTGGTCCTCCTAGCTTCATCCAGCTCTGACCTTCAGCTCTTGCTGGGTAGGTTCGCGGCCGAATGTGAAGCGGCTGGGATGAGGATCAGCACCTCCAAATCTGAGACCATGGTTCTCGACCGGAAAAGGGTGGCTTGCCACCTCCGGGTCGGGGGAGAGGTCCTACCTCAAGTGGAGGAGTTTAAGTATCTCGGGGTCTTGTTCACGAGTGAGGGTAGGAGGGATCGGGAGATCGACAGGCGGATTGGTTCGGCGTCTGCAGTGATGCGGACGCTGAGCCGATCTGTCGTGGGGAAGAGGGAGCTGAGCCAGAAAGCCAGGCTCTCGATTTACCGGTCGATCTACGTCCCAATTCTCACCTATGGTCATGAGCTTTGGGTAATGACCGAAAGAACGAGATCGCGGATACAAGCGGCCGAAATGAGTTTCCTCCGTGGGGTGGCCGGGCTCAGCCTTAGAGATAGGGTGAGGAGCTCGGACATTCGGGAGGGACTCGGAGTAGAACCGCTGCTCCTCCGGATCGAAAGGAGCCAGTTGAGGTGGTTTGGGCATCTGGTCAGGATGCCTCCTGGACGCCTCCCCGGGGAGGTGTTTCGGGCATGTCCTGCCGGCAGAAGGCCCCTGGGTCGACCCAGGACACGTTGGAGAGGTTACATCTCCAATCTGGTCCGGGAACGCCTTGGGGTCCTGCCGGAGGAGCTGGTGGACAAGGCCGGGGAGAGGACGGCCTGGAGCTCCCTAGTTGGGATGCTCCCCCCGCGACCCGGACCCGGATAAGCGGAGGAAGACGAGAGACGAGAGTTTGAATAGTGTTTGATGGCCTGTATTTGATATAGCACATTTTAGAGTTCTACAAAGCCCCAGACACAACAACACAATTAGTCATTCACCCATTCACACACCGGTAGTGATGAGGTACAATGAAGCCACAGCTGCCCTGGGGCACATTTAGAGAGGTGAAGCTGCCGTAAACAGGCGTCACTGGACCCTCCAACCACCACGAGCAGGTAAGTCGGGTTAAATGTCTTGCCCAAGGACACAACAACTGCGACAGACAAGGCAGGGAGTAAATTAACATCAGTGTTGTATTAACACTCTTGTTGAATTAATTGAACTAAAACACCCAAGTCCGAATCAGAAACCAGCCAACCAAGTTACAGTCAATCCTGATCGGCAGAGTTGTGAAAAATATATCCTTCATTATGTACAATAGCAAAAACTCCAATCTTACCTGTAGTCCTAGTAGGATGCACAAGTACCAAGGTGGGACATCTTCAATTGTATAAATCATGTCTGGCTCTACAGGCTCTGATTCATCTGGATGATCTGTTTCTCTGGGACATTCTGTTCCTAAGTTTGTCTTGTCCAGCTTTTGGTTTCTTCCATTTTCCAGGTTACTCTGTTCGGACAGAAAGATAGAGCTGGTGATTCAAAACATGCATGGTAAAGCTGTAGAGCAGTGATTCCCAACTTGTGGACTCTGACCCAAAAGTAGGTCATGGACCCATTTTTAGTGGGTCACGGGCATTAAACAGGGCAAAATGTTATGAAATATGATCATGCATTTGTTTGTGAAGGGGACCTTTTTGTGCAATGGAGTGCAATCTGTTCACAACTCCTCAACAGCAGGTGGTGATACAGTCGGGGAGTGTTAATTACTTTCTGCAATTCTACAACACAAAGTGGGACGTGTCTCTAGTCAGGGTCAGTTACTAAAACAGAGCTCACTGATCGACCATGTCAAAATAAATCATGTAATGTGGCTGCATACTGAAACGAAACATTTGTGTAGGTTAGCCTTCACCATATCTGGTTCAGTATGAGCATGAGTGAGTTTCTTTCCGTTGCCACTCCAGCAGTAAAAACTTTGTTACGATTCATTCAGCTTTACCCATGTTAGTGAACATGGCAGAAATGTTACTTGATTTTCTTTAAAGTAGTTTAGGTATTTAATGAAAGCATATTTAGAAGAAAATATTGTTTTATATACACTTGAATCTCACCCTATCTCTTAGGGAGAGGCCAGCCGCCCTGTGGAGAAAACTAATTTTGGTCGCTTATATTCGCAATCATGTTCTTTGGTCACTACCTAAAGCTCATGACCATAGGTGAGGGTAGGAACCACTAAATCAAGAGCTTTGGCTTCTGACTCAGCTCTCTCTTCACCACAGCAGATCGGTACAACGCCCGCATCACTGCAGACGCACCACCAATCCACCTGTCGATCTCACGCTCCAGCATTCCCACACTCATGAACGAGATCCCAAGATACTTAAACTCCTCCACTTGAGGCAGGACCTTGTTCCTGAAGTGGAGAAGGCATTCTACCCTTTTCCATCTCAAGAGCGTGGTCTCAGATTTAGAGGAACTGACTCCACATCATCTGCAAAAAGCAGACTCAATCCTCAGGCCACCAAAACGGATCCCGTCAACACCTTAGCTGTGCCTACAAATCCTGTCCATAAAAGTTATAAACAGAATCGGTGACAAGCTTTGTCGTCCGGGAGGGCCTCAGAGTAGACCCGCTTTTCCTCCACATCGAGAGGAGCCAGTTGAGGTGGCTCAGGCATCTAGTTGGGATGCATCCTGGACGCCTCCCCGGTGAGGTTTTCCGGGCACGTCTAACTGAGAGAAAGCCTAAAAGAAGACCCAGGACACTCTGGAGGGACTATGTCTCTCAACCCAAAAAATTACAAAATAACAAAACTCACAAAAATATATACAAAGATTTGATGTTTTAATCATTTAGAGCTGATTTTGTTGTGGTAAAACATTTTACTCATTAAAAGGGTTGCCTTATTAGTACTCCAAAGGGTTCAAATTTGAACTTTGACTGCTGTCGAAGATCAACTACTGCCGAGGCAGATGGCTCACCTGATGGCGTGTCATTCATTGTCTAACCCATCTGAACTCAGCCTAGTGTTTACTTATCCTGTTTTTCTAGGGTTGTGTGTGTGTGTGTGTGTGTGTGTGTGTGTGTGTGTGTGTGTGTGTGTGTGTGTGTGTGTGTCAAATGGGTTGTGGGATGGGGGTGTAACTGTCATAATTGTTTTTATATTTGTGGAGAAGGGATGGGAATATGGGTTGTATGGGGTAATTTTAATCTGTGAAGCACTTTGAGCTGCATTTTATTTTGTATCATCATCATCATCATCATCATCAAACTTTATTCTGGGCCTTTAAGGTCCATAATGGGAAGGATAACACAGTGAACAGTAAAAACAGATAAATTCATAAAGAATAAAGATTAGAGGATTAAAAACAGTTAAAAAATTGCAAGAAAATAAAACACATTAAGAACAATAAAGCAAGTTAATAACAATAACATTACAACCAATAGCAATATAAACTGACAAGATCAGTCAAACATACAGTCAACAACGCCAGTGATTCCAAAGGTTAGAATAGAATCGAGTCATGCTTCATGTCGTTGTGGACAAGATTGAGATAATACCATTTCCAGAGACCATCAGCCTACACATACATCTGTACATTAGATTGAGAAGTGTTGCATTACAAGTGGGAATACCAGCGAATGGCTGGCCCTGCTCCAGCGAGGTACCCTCAGCAGCAGCTTCAACCCATCATTGTAAAGGCAACTGAAGTTTGTACAGACTTCTTCTCCTGTAATTCCTCCACAGATGTGCAGTGTACATAGGCGTACAAAATGCTTTGAAAAGTGTCAGCTTGACAGGAATGGGACACCTAGAAAATTTCCGAATGAGCATACTATCTTGTACATACTGCAAGCAACACTGTCTATAAATGTCTCTATCATCCAACAGGTCAGCAGAGATGTAGTGCCCCAAATATTTAACTTCATCCCAGACCTGGATAATATTGTCAGATAAGTGGAAATCTGGGAAAATTAGTTTACCATCCTCTTTAGTCCCCACAATCATGATGGTAATTTTCATTGCATTGAATTTTATGTCAAAGTCATGACCATATTGTGAGTAACTCCTTAACAATAGCTGCAGACCAGCACTGCATGGACAACAGATTTCCAGATCATCTGCATACATCAAATGATTCAAAACAACATTCCCAACCTGCTAGCCAGTCCTGCATCCACTCAGCAGCCTGGACAGGTCATCCATGTACACATTAAAAAGACAAGAAGACATAAGCCTGCCTTGTCATACACCATTACAAACAATAAAAGGAAGGGACACTGAATTCCCCCATTTGACAACCATGGACTGGTGGCCATACCAATATACTAAAATCCTCACCAGATATTTAGGTGCATTCCTGTCGAGCAGTTTTAAAAACAACTTTTCGTGATTAACACGATCAAATGCTTTAGAAGCATCAATGAAACATGTAGGTAAATATGGTCTTGTTGTGCCTGCTGTACAGATCCAGAATTTCCTTTAATGCAAAAATACACATGTCTGTACCTAAATTCGATTTAAATTCAAATTGATGATCTGATGTAAAAACAAACTCCTCTAGTCTTGTCAAAATAGCCCTCTCCAGGACCAAAGAAATGGCCAAAGCAATGGGCCGGTAGCTATCTTTACTGTTTATTCTGCCAGTTTTATTCTTTATAATAGGTACCAAGACGACTGTGGTAAAACACCGTGAATTAAAAACCCTCTAAAACAAATGGCCAACAGCAGGTAAAGTTTCCTGCTCGCAAACTTTAAATGCTCTACTGATATCGTATCATGCCCCCATGGCTTATTATCCTTCAGCTTCATCAGAATGTCATGGACTTCTTGCACTGTAATAGATACATCCTTGTTATTCTCTACCTTGTCAGTTTCAGGGGGATTACTCTTGACACAATTAAACAAATCCTAATAATGCTTATGCCATAACTGACAAATTTCCTCAGAACCAAAAGCCCCATCAACATTTGATGGTAGGGGTGTCTTACAAGTATTTAGCCTTCTAATTTCTCTCCAAAATTCTGTAGGACTGTGGTTTTGTAGTTAGCTAATGAAGAATTTCTAAGCATATCATCATTCCTTTTGATGTAACGCGAAGCACGTTTCACCTTTGCATTTGTGTATTTTTTACATTGGGCCCCTTTTTGGTTTCCCTGAGTCAGCCCACTGTCTATATACCCTTCTGGCTTCTGCATAGAGCTCTTCTACATGATCAGTCCAACCAGGCTTAGCTTTATGCTTACTATTTTTACAAAGTGGCGTACTCGAGGTAACCAGAGTGTCTACAATTGCGTCATAGAGGAGGCACAGCTCTCTACCACGCTGCACATTTCTACAGTTCATATGAAAAGTGCTGTACAAATACAGATTGATTGATTGATTGATTAATTGATTGAAATGAAGACAACTGGACTTCTTTGGTTTCTTGAAGACGTTTCGCTTCTCAGCTTTGTCAATTCTGACTGGAATATGGGAGTCAGGCTTAGAAGCTGTAGCTGTCTGCTGTTATTTAAAGAGACGAAACGAACCCTAACTTAGTCATCTTCAAATGTGTGTCCCTTGTCCTTCAGGTGTAGGTGGACTGCAGAGTCTTTACCTTAAGAGGTGGCTCTCCTGTGTTGTGTCATGTGCTTGTCACTGATCCCTGAGCTTACCAAACCAATTCTGAGTTCCAGTAATTAGTTCTAAAGGTTTTGGAATCAATAAAATAACAACAGTGTCCAAATTTATGCATCTGCCTAATTTTGTTTAAACAATTGTTGCACCCTATAAACTTCAGTTAACTTCTCAAATATCACTGATTGTGTGTATTGTAACGTCCAGCAATGGTCAGTTTTCACCTAAAAACTGACCTACGTGCCACCGGTCACTGGCAGAGATAAATTCCATTCTGTAAGGTGGATTTTACATTCTACCTTCCAACAATCAACAAAGTTCTGCAAACCTTGTTGACATTTCAGGAGGAACACAATGTCAGCCTGTGTTCCCAAACAAAGCCTTCTTCTGAGAACACCGCAGGATTCCTCATGCCTCTGAATAAAGTGACTATTTTCAGCTCATGTGAGTTAATCAATCAATCAATCATGAAATGGAATGAACAAATGTTATATGAAATGATCAATTATGTTTTGATTAATCTGTACTTAAATTAATAAGGTAGATTAATCTGTGCTTAAATTACTGTGGTTGAAATGAAACATTTTTATATTATGATCAGTAATTTTAGATTTAACAAGTGAATCATTATCTACACTCAGACAAAAGGTTCATTAGAGATAAATTAAAGTTAAGTTAAATGTCATGACACATAGATATTTTCTTAGCCACAAATCAGAACATCCTGTATCTGAAAGAGGCGTGACGTTCCGAGGTTTGCTTGTGAACACCCCTTAACATGGCACATCCCGGTTGGCCAAGAAATCCTAATATGACAATATTTAGAGCTCACTAGAAGGTGAGCCAGTTCTAGAGAAAGCTACCGACAGGCCATCCAGAGCGAACC